CACCACCTCCTTAGGTAACCCATTCCAGTGCTTCACCACCCTCCTAGTAAAACAGTTTTTCCAACCTAGACCTCCCCCACTGCAACTTGAGACCATTACTCCTCATTTTGTCATCGGCCACCACTGAGAACAGCCTCTCTCCATCCTCCTTGGAACTCCCCGTCATGTAGTTGAAGGCTGCTTTATAATCCCCCTTTATTGTCCTCTTCTGAAGACTAAATAAGCCCAAATCCCTGAGAATCTCTTTGTAAGTCATGTGTTCCAGCCCCCTAATCATTTTTGTTGCCCTCCTCTGGACTTTCTTCAATGCATCCACATCCTCTCTGTAATGGGGGCCCCAGAATTGGATGCAGTACTCCAGATGTGGCCTCACCAGTGCCAAATAGAGGAGAAAAATCACTTCTCTAGATCTTCTGGCAATGCTTGTACTAATGCAACCTAATATGCCATTAGCCTTCTTGGCTACAAGGGCACACTGTTCACTCAGCCACCTTTTCATCCACTATAATCACCAGGATTCTTTCTGCTGCACTGCTTCTAAGGCAACAGATCCTCAGCCTGTAGCCATGCTTGGGATTCTTTTGTTTCAAGTGCAGGACTGTGCTCTTGTGCTTGCTGAACCTCATTAGATTTCTTTCGGCCCGATCCTCCATTTTGTCTAGGTCATTCTGGATGCTATCCCCACCCTCCAACCTATCTACCTCTCCACCTAGATTAGTGTTATCTGTGAACTTGCTGAGGGTGCAATCCATCCCATTGTCCAGGTCATCAATAAAAATGTTGAACAAAACTAGCCACAAAACCGACCCTTGAGGCACGCAGCTTGATACCAATGGCCAGGACCAGCCTTAGGGAAAATGGCACCCTAGTGAACTTGTATGTTGACACTCCTGAGCCTCACCCCACCCCAGGCATGGTGCCTCCCCCATTTCCCTTGGCTGCCATTGGCTCCCCCACTCCTGGACCCCCATCCTTTGCCCCTTTTGCCATTAACTCCTGCCTCTCCTTCACCCTAACTCCTAAACTGTGTCCCTAATTCTAACATTGTCACCTTCACCCCAGCCTCTGCACAATACCATCTTCACCCCAGCCCTTGCATTTCCCTCCCATCTGCAGCTCCAGCCCTTGCATTCCCAGTGTGCCTACCACTTCCTGCCCAGTATCACTCAACTTATGCCAATGGTTCTCAAACTTTTTGGCCCGTGGCCCATCCGGCTCAATGCAAACATTTCCATGGACAACCAGCTGCTGTTCCCCCAGCTGGGTGAGTGGGAGGGGCAGCATTTCTTCTCCATGAGCCTCCTCCCCGCCTGCAGGAAGCCAGCACAGGTGCTCCTACCACGTGGCTGGGAGGAGGGAGGGTAAAGCTGCAGCGCCCTGGGCCTAGGCAGGAAGAAAAAAGCCAGCCAGAAGGAAAAAAGAGCCAAAGGGGAGCGGCAGGGTAAGAACCCTTTACGGCACCCCCTAGCTGCAGCACCCTGGACCTAGGCCTGGATTGCCCAGCTCTAAGGGCTGCCGACTGCCAACCACACATCAAGCTGTCAATCTCTAACCGTTGTGCCCAACAATCTAGCCAACTTCCTATCCACCCTACAATCCATTTATTCAATCCATACTTTAACTTGCTAGCCTGTTGGCCCCACGGGTACTGCTAAGGGAAAAATTTCCAACGCGTGCATGCTGTGTGCGCACACCTACATGGAACGGACATGAGCAATCACTCAAAGAAGAGGTAAAGCTCAGAAGTGGTTTCCTCAAGTAGGTAATTTTTTACCTTAAAGGAATAAAAAATTAGCTTTCAAGAAAGTATTTGTGGACCTAAGTGAGGATACTGGAATTCAATGTACACATCAGATGAGATTAACTTCGAGGGCCCAATAGAGGCATCTATTTTGAGGAGTCTTTCTGCCTGAAGGAACAAGGGGAGAAAGTTCTCTATTCATTTGGATTCGAATGGCACTCGAGTTTCCTTGCCCTGGATCACTCCTCAAATTCTGCAAGTACATTTATTATATAGCAATACATACGCAAACAAACCACCCCAAACCAATCACCCTCCCCCAACAAACCTACTTTGGTCTGCACTGAAAAATGCTAAGTACTACAAAAGTGCATGAATATTATTTTAGCAATCAAACCTTTCCAAAGTTCCACTGACAAAGGGGAATGTCTCATGTATAGATGTATGCAGGCAATTTTTTTAATGCAAAAAGCAAGAGTGTACAATCTCTCCCTGCATTGCTTATTACCATGCCTACATATTTATTTCATATTTCCTTTTAGCTCCTAGGTTCTTTTTAAATCAGCCACAGAACTTATAAGGTTGATACATTTTTCAATAATTTGAGTCCCCCGCTTCCTTTTTAAGCCAAAGGCCATGGTTAAGCAATAATCAGGGGCTGTTACTTATAAGCTCAACACTTTTTTCCTGCGAACACCTGTACCAATCAATTACGGGCTTACAGCAGCACGCATGTTAAAATGAAAACAGGAAACCCTTCAAGTGGGTGTTAAGGGTTGCCATAATATAGCTTCAGTTATAACTTCACTTCCTTTTTATTTTGGACACATTTTAAGCTAGTATGTTCCATTACTCATTCCAATATTTCAACAGTAGCTTTTTCAGGAAAGGAACAACTTATGATTACTTCGAGTTAAAGAATATTTTCAAGCAGCTGACATTCTTTCAAAAAATGTGCTGAAGTAACTTTAAATATTGTTCAAAACTTTTGCCATTGCAGTGATAAATCTAATTCATGCATAGTTATCCAGATAATTGTATATACACTGTTTAATTATGCGTAAAGGCACAAAACATGCAACTGGTATAAAATAATAATTGAAATTGGATTTTGTCAGTCTACTGTGCCTGTTAAGAATATTCATTAGTTTTCTGATATATAAATTATGTATGTCAAGTCCTACAATTCCACATAATTTCAACAACTCTGAAGAGAACTCTCCCTTACGATTATTACTGGTTCTTGATGAATTCCTGACTGCTCTTTACAATCTGTTAGGAACTTTAAATTCACTTGAAAAGTCATCCAAAAAACAATAAATATCCTGCAGTTTTCCCCAATACCAAAGACACTATAAGACAGGTCAATGTCAGCATGTCATTCTGATAAAGTTTCAAGATTAGCTCTCGCCACACCACAAGGCGTCCATATTTTTCCTCTCTCTCATCTGAAGTTCAGAGCTGTATTTTAACTACTGAGAGAGAGACTGGAGTGCTATAAACTGAAAATGAACTATTTCTCTGACTGTGCTCCTAGAATTCACTAATTGGAAACAGAACAAAATCATGAGAAAAAAAAGTGAACCACACTACATATGGCCAAGAAGCTACAGGAATAAAGTAATTAAATAATGTTCTAAAAAATTGCTAAAACAGAAAATTTTAACCATATTTATAGAATTATTTCACACTGCTATATTGGATTTAAATTTTTGCCATGAAATTAGACAAATTCTTAACAGGCAATTCAGAAACTGAATTGAAAAAAGTTACATCTGCTTGTCAAAGGGAACGTATTTTGCATAGTATCAATGAAATACACTTTTAAATAATTACTAAAATTTGAGTACTCATTAACTAGCTTGTAGTAAGATACAGTAGCTGTGTGTACCTGGTGTATATGTAAAACGTTGAGACTGGCTTTTTTTCCTCTTCCCATTGCAAAGATAAAACTGCACCTGGACTGCAGCTGTAATCGTTTTGTTATGGTATGGAGGAACTTCAAGAACAATGTTAGCCTAAATTAAAGTTGAAACAAGATAGCGTTACTTTTAAAATATAAATGAATACATCTGTTAAAGAATCCTGCTTGAGTGCTGGCTGAAATGCTAACTCAAATGGGGATTTTTAGTTCAGTGTAGCTATTGCTTCATGCGTAGCACTTTAGCAAATTCATAGTCCAGTTTTGTCAATTTCACAAAACAATACGTCATTACTTCAGCTATTTAAATCTGAAATTTCACAGTGTTTAATTATAGGGGTGCTGACCCAAAAAGTAGTGGTGTATGTTAGTGTGTTTATGTGGAGGGGGTTTGCAGTATTGCTACAACTTCTGTGTTGTTGCTGGCAGTGCTGCTGCCTTCAGAGCTCAGCAGCTGGAGAACAGCAGCTGCTAGCTGGAATCCCAGCTCTGAAGGCACAACTGCCACCAGCAGTAGCACAGAACAGATGCCATGGTATGGTATTGCCACCTTTACTTCTGCACTACTGCCAACCAAGTTTAGCCCTCAGTCTGCTTCCACACTCTCTGCACATCCAACTCTGAACGCAGCAATGCAGGAATAAGGATGGCATAGTATGGTATTGCCCCTTAATTCTGCATTGCTGGGTCCTGAAGTCAATAGTTAAATCAATAGCTGTGACTCTTCCACTCCCCCGCCCAGCTCAAAGTAGCACAGAAATAAATTTGGGTGGCAATACTGCAATCTCCCTAAAATAACCTTGGCCCCCCTGCAGTCTCCCTCCCCTTCCCACAACACACTCTGGGTCAGGACCTCCAGTTTTAGAAACACTAGTCTTTCCCATTAAATCTGTATAGCATAGGGTAAAAGTACCCAAAAGATCAGATTTCATGGGTGGAGACCAGTTTTCATGGTTTATAATGCAATCTTCATGGCCATAAATTTGGTAGGGCTATTCATGCCTCTTCTAAACATTAAAGCAGAAATATAACAATATAATTTAACACGTGTAATGTGGGAGACATTTTTTGCATATTTTAGAGATTATATTTTTATTTAAAAATACATACATGTATTTTTAAATTTACCTTAACGAGTACAGGCAGTCCCCGGGTTACATGGATCCGACTTACATTGGATCCCTACTTACAAACGGGGTGAGGCAACCCCGCACTAGCTGCTTCCCCCCAGCAGACCAGGGAGACGCGAAGCTAGCGCCCCCCCACCCCAGCAGACCAGGGAGACGCGGAGCAGCTTTTCTCAGCAGACACCTCAGCTTGAGAATAAAGGACTGAGGGAAGTGAGGTGTGGGAGAATAAAACTGAGCTCTGGAGAAATGTTTGGCTACAGTTTCCCCTACAATATGTACCAGTTCCGACTTACATACAAATTCAACTTAAGAACAAACCTACAGTCCCTATCTTGTACGTAACCCGGAGACTGCCTGTATATGAATGCCTTAGAAGCAGATACTAAGCCTACGTCTACACTGGCGGGTTCTTGTGCAAGAACATTTGCGCAAGAACACGTCCACATTGCCATGTGCTTTTGTGCAAGAGCATCCATGGCAGTGTAGATGCTCTCTTGCCCAAGAAAGCTCTGAGGGCCATTTTAGCCATAGGGCTTTCTTGCACAAGAAACCCCTTGTGCAAGAGTGCTTACGCTTGTTAGAAAAGAGCATAGCTCTTGCTCAAGAAGCCCTCTTTTACTATGCTTTACTGTAAATCTTCTTGCACAAGAACGGGCGGGCAGTGTGGACACACTGAAGAAGAACAGCTGTTCTTGTGCAAGAATCTACAAGTGTAGACAGTCTAAATGTTATATGCAATGACAATTACTTCTCACATTGACAATTATTCTAAATTTCCCCTTCTAATTTTTTCAAATAAGGTTATAATTTCATTTTCTTAGAAAGCAGCAACATAATGAATGCTTTATACTCTAACAATTCAGAGTAAGTCTTCAAATGAAGTAAGCAAACTGCAAAACTTGTTCATATATCCTACTTATAATTTACACTAGAAGTACAAACTGAAAAACATGACAATCAAGACTAATTTATTACTTAAAAAACAACTTTCAAAAGAACAAAAGATTCTCACCCCTTGACACTTCTCCCTAATTATTTTCCCTTCTACTTCCCACTGAGGTCGTCCATCTGTTGAGAGAAATAAAGTTTACAAGAAATTCAAGTCAAAAAAGCATTTTCTGAAATACTTTGAGAGTGAATGCAATTCAAAATATTTAAATTAATTTAAGAGATGATATTGCAGAGTTAACTGGAAACAGATTCTAAAATTCTTAAATGTTCTTATTGTTGGAAACATCCAAAGCTCTTTATATACGTTAATGAAATCTGATCAAAGTTTCTGTTCCAAACAAATCTATTTCACTAAGGATTTCTGCATAGATAATATTGTGAGTTGAACAATCGTCAAAGTTCTTAACACCGATATTCTTTAAACAGATGGTGAAAATTCAGAGTTTCCACTATGATTTAAAATATCCAGGTAAGTGAAGATAAATTGTAAAATTTAATGGTTACTTCCTTAGCTGATGTGAATTAGGGTTAATGTATTGTGTCATTTAACATCAGCAACGTAACTGGCCCATTCTATTTAATTTATATGGAGTAATTAAAATCTGTTTAAATATATTTATAAAAATACACTAATGAAAAAATACTGATACTTGTAATATAAATACTCTTATTATACAGACATATTTAATCTAGAGATATTTATATTTATCAAAATAAATTAATATTTCTAATTCCAGAAGTATGTGCGTGAACACAAACACCACATATAAAATACATCATCATCTTTTGCTAGAAGACAAAAAAAAAAAAAAAAAAAAACCAGAGTTCCAACTACACAAATAGCATACAATACCAGCAGAAAACTGAAAGGTTGATTTTAAGTTGTGTCATGGTGCACAAATATAATTATAATCACTTTCAACATGGCTAATGAGTTGGAGTGCCTTCACTTAAATCATAAGCATTAGAGAGCTAGTGACTTCTCAATGTCTATAACAAATTAGACAAAAGTCATATTCTTATATTTCTGTTGAAAGGTAGGACCACTTTTGCCCATATATATGCAACAAAGTTACTTCAATCGTATAAGAAGTGTCATTGACTACCATGGTTTTACATGTGTCAGTCAAGCTATTCACATCCAGATTACTTGCAGAATCAGACCTTTAATTATCAGTCATATATAACAGTTTTAGGCAAGTTTTTTATTTGGGGTCGGCAACCTTTACAAAGTGGCGTGCCAATATTTAACCTTTCTGCCCTGGGCCATGCCTCTCTCCCGGGACGGCAGCAGGGGCTCTTTCCACTGCACACCCTGGGGACCACATGGGTCAATGCAAACTTTTCTGCCGCCCACAAGTTGCTAATGGAAACTCACCGTTAATTACACCCGAGCCATTTTGCTAGTGCTGCAGCTAGGGAGAATGGTTTGATTCAGGCATTTAATTTAATTTAAGGGCAGATTGAGTGTTTTAACTTCCTCAAGTTAGTTTATCAAACTTCATTTTAATTAAACTAAAGATTATTTTATGTCCAACATAAAAGTTTTCAATGTTTTCTTTATTTATGGTGGGGTGGGGAATATTTTTGGGGTCAGGGACCACTGATCCACAGAAAAATCAGTTGGGGACCACACAAGTGAGAAGCAAAATAACTCCCAAAGCAACCCTCACTAAGATGGCTCCCAACTGAGACATCTCACACTGGCGTTCCAGCTCCAAGGGGCGAGGGCAAGGAACAGGGAGGACTGATATTCAGGGCTTCCCTTAGGTCAGATTTACTTTTTCTGGTGGATTTTATGAAGCACCCTTAGTTTCTGGGGTTGAGACAAAAATGAGGGGTTCAGTATGCAGGACAGGGCTGCCAGACAGTGGGATAGGGATGGGGTGCAGGATCTGGGAGGGAGGTGGGGGGCAGAAGAGGGAGAGGTTGTGAGGTCTGGGTGGCAGGAAGTACAGAAGCAGGCTGGGAGCGGGGTGTTTGGCCAGGTGGACGGAGCAAAGGAGGACGCAGTGTGTGGCCAGGAGGGAGGGTGCAAGAGCAACGATGGATGCAGGAGCAGACTTCGGGGGTACAGGTTAGCCCTCGCTGATCTGACACCCTCTGGACGTGACTGGTCCCAGATGAGGGATTTTTCCAAATAAGAGGAGGTCATTTCAGGTCCCCTGCTGCTGCGCACCATACTGGGCTTCCCGGAACGCCCTTTCCCCCAAACCTCAGCTCGGCTGCTCTTTGGCCCTCCGGCCCCTCTTCCCAGTCCCCTCCCCCCCGCCCCCGCTGCTTATCCTATGGCCCAGCCACTTACTCATTTTCCACGCTCTTAACAGACAACACCTCTTGCTGCTGCTATTGGATGGATCCCCACATGCAGGGAAAGCCTGGGAAGTGTCCCTGACTCCTATATTCCATCAGCTGGGGACGGGAGAAGAGGAGGAAGGAGAATCAGCTGCACAGCCGCTTTTAGATCTGTTTGGAGTGTGGGGGACTTTCCGGGACATTTCAGAGCTGCTCAGGGAACTGGGACAGGTCATTAAAATTCGAGACTGTTTCAGATTTTAAGGGCCATATGGTCAGCATAAGCAGCGGGGACTTCCCTTGGCTGTCAGGCTGGGATGCAGGTGGGCAACCAGGCCTTAGCCAGCATCTTTGCACTCAGGCTCCCCTGTCCCTAATAATGCAGAGCAGCAGGAGGGAGGGCTTGTGCTTAGACTGATGGGACTGGCTGGTCTGTCACTAAGAATGTGGCGTGGCAGCGGGGAGAGGGAAGGGGGCTTGTGCTGAGACTGGAACCGATTGCTCTGTCCCTTTAAGAAAGCAGAGTGGTAGCAGGGAGGGGGTGCAGAGGGGCTTGTGCTGAGACGTGTGGAACTGGCTGCTCAGTCCCTTAAATAATGCAGAGTGGCAGCACAGGGGAGGTTTTGAGACTGAGCCAGCGTCTTTGCAAGCCAGCTGCTCTCTGTCCCTTTAAGAGTGCAGAGTGCCAGGGGGAAGGAGGAGATGATCAAGTAGTCCAGTGGTGGCCAACCTACAGCTGAGAGCCGCATGCGGCTTTTCTCCCCCTAAAGTGCAGCTCACAGAGCCCCTCCCCCAGCGCTCT